TTTGCATTCTGCTGAGTTATATTGCTAATTTCAATCAAAAATTTCTTAAGCGATAATCTTTCCACAGATTTTAATAAAGGGAGCAAAAATTGTTTGACTTGAATGAGAGAAGAAACTGTGTCTTCTTGTATAAGTCTTTCATCTGAAGATTCGTCTACCGAATTAATTAAATTTTTTATGTCATGTTCAGCGATTTTATAAAGAAATACAATAAAATCACTAGCTTTTGAGAGTTCTTTGATCAAATCCCAACAATCATCATTAATTAATCCAAAATGTTGATTAAATATTTCAAAGAAATTCACTAATTTTCCTAACCAAAGATAATCGTCACGAAGAACTAACTGTATTCTTTCAAGCCAATCATCTTTAGTGTGAGTTATTTTAAACATAACTACGACTATAGATAATTGCTGAAGTCGTTCAATTTGAGTCGGAACTAAAGAAAGATATTCAAGTGTTTTAATTAACTTTGGACTTTTTTCTGTTTGAATGTAATCACTTATCAAATTTAATTCTTTTTCGATATCTTTCACATTTTTCCATATAAGGATTCCTTCTGAACATTTAAGACTTTCCCATTCTTTATATTGTTGACATAATTGATCATATTCGATAAATACGGCTGGCATTAAAGTTTGAGCTATATATTCGACAGTTACTAATTCATATTCATATGATTCCAATTCCAATTTATTATTAAAAACATTATAGAATGTATGCGACTTTGCCCATTTATGTGCTTTTCTAGCGGTAACTATATTTTTTTTATGAAAATTCCAATGATTATCAGCCAAAGTTTCTTTAAGCGTAAGATTTCCTAGATTATTATTTCGATTATTAATGTCATTAAGAAAATTTTGAACGTCTTTAACTTTTTCAATAGGACAAAATTTATCATAAAATGATCTTAATTGTTCTATTTTCAAAATGTATCCATGGTAGTTTTTTCGAAGATTTTTAATCAGATCTTCGCTAATTTTCTCTTTCTTGGCAGATAAATTGAGAAAGGGATTCAAAATTTTAGTATCATATTCAAGAATTTCTTGTAGGGATCGTATTGTTATATCCTCTCTAATAATAACGGCATCGAATTTAAAGATTAATCCTTGAACTTGCTTAACATAAGGATGGGAATACAAATTATCAACAAGGCCAGTTGCTTTGAAAATTAAACTCCAAAATCGATAATTTTCAAGTAATTTTAAAATTACAGTCGATAAATTTGTATTATTCTTGATAATTTTATCTTTAGCTTCCAAATATGTCATTACGTGATAGACAATATTTTCGCTTAAGCTAATAAAGTAAAAGTGAATTTTTAAATTAGTAAATTATAAAATCATATATAAAGTCATCCGGTATTTGAAAAGAAATCTTTAATTACCCATTTTGTATATTTACAACTTCGTTTTTGCAACCACAAACTTGCAACAAATATCTTATCACGTTATTATCAATTTTATTTATGTAATTTTTTAATAATTCCTTGACCATTTCTCCATATGAATCATGAATTTCTTTCTCTAAAGTTGAGATAACTGGCGTAATAGTTAAAATATTAGAAATATTAGATAGAGCGCAGTTTTTGGCACGACCAGCCGCAACATCTAATAAATCTTTAAAAATTTTAG